ACTTTTCTTTTACTCATGACATGGAAAGGGCTCTTTTTTTTTTTTTAAATTTTAAAAGTTTTTTTAAAAAAAAAAAATAGTTGTATTTAACTTCAACAAACAAACGCAGCTATGCTTGCAGACAAGTCTATGTTGCATAGTGCATAAAACACTCAACAAGAACCTAGCAAAATGCATGCTTTTTTATACATGCTATATCGTTACAACAACATGCTATGTGGTTACAACAAAGGGGGGGAAAGGGATCTTTCCACGCAGGTCTGTCCAGATGTACATCGACTTCAAGCTGTTCAAATCTCACTATGCTTGTTTTGTAGAGCGTGTCGAGTTGTGTAGGAATCTATATTTTTTTTAACAGAAAAGTGTGTGGAAAGTGGCCGGAGAAGGGTTGCAATATTGGGTTTTTTCAAAAATCCCCCCTAGGGATTGGTCGATATTATATTAACATAAGCATTTGAAAAACTTTTGAGATGGACATTCGATAGAGCTCAAAACGTTGTTCATATGATATTATTTTTGAAGGTTACGACTTATAAGGCCTATGAGCACCCGCGGCCCCGGATCATGCTACAATGACCATTCCCATCAAAAACAGATTGTCAATAACTCAACGAAAACCAATCTTTTTTTTAACTTTCTCTCAGTCAATATGCAGATTATTTCACACTCTTTACAATGCCACAAATCCGAGCTTTTTATCTTTGATCGTTCTTGAGTTATTGATCTGAAAAGGACCCCTGGGTCGGCAAAACCTCGAACTTTGAGCTCAATTTTCTCGAAAATTCCTCGTTATTTTTCCATGAAAACTATATCATAAAGTCAGGTTGATGTGTACCACTTAGAGTAAAATTTTCGAAGTCTGCAAAAGAAAGCTTCCTGAGATCTTAAAAACCGGTTTCCCGGGAGATTGCTGGAAAACCCGAATCCTCTAACTTGTTTTCAACACATCCACACAATAGCACAGATGCGTTTCTTTCGAATGAGACGTTTCCGAGATCTTTGTCATGTTTCGTTGACGAGATATGAGCGTTACAAATTCTTTTTCAGTTTGGTGCCTTCAGGTCCGGCTAGCTCTGATGAAGTTGTTGTATCTCGTATTGTTGTATTCATCGTAAACAAGGAAAATACGGCATTCTGCGTCAGAAAACAGATGAAAAGCTAAACTATGTGCACTGAAGACTCTTCACTGAAGAGTCTTCAGTGCACATAGTTTTTTACATAAATACAATAATATTAAAAGTATTTTACTTTTGTATAGTTATAGTTGAATCGGTGGATTTTTCTTAAAACTCAGTTTCACTAGGTTTACCCATCTTTTCCTGGGAAAAAACATTACCACAAGATTCGGTATGGTCGATAACCTATGTTTCCATTTACTTTAGAGATTTTGCGAGGTCACCTAATACCAGTCTAGGGGAAAAACTGATTCCACGCCTAAAACTACAGCGGCTGAACCTACTGGTCAAGATATCATACGTAGCTTACTTTGTAGGAAATTCGACGAGCTTTAAAATGGTATATGACACAAAATGTACTTATTTCTTTACTAGTGTAAGAAATAGTAAAAACTGGAAGTATGTCATTTTTCCCTAGTCGGTTTACTTCTGGTCCATAAAAAAATTGGGCCCAAAACATATAAACTGAGATGCGACCTGGCCTTTAAGTACACAAAAAAATTAAAATTTTGTAAATCTGCATACTGCCATTAAGTATGCGACCATATAGAAGTTTGGTCTGCCATTTTTTAACAAATAGCAGTGAAGATATGATGTGGATGTCTTTCAATTCAGTTTTTCATCGTCTATCTAGCAGTGGTCGAATGAATCTTATCTACTATTTTAGTCGAGAGAAATAATTAAATTACTAGTTGGATGGGGCAGCAAGATGATGATGGTGGAAAACAAATTGTTTTCACCCTTTTCTTTTTACTGTTTTCGCTCGGGAATGACAGAGAATAATAGAAACGTCACTTTTCTAGTAAATTTGGTCATTGGAAATGAAAAGATCCGAGTGGACCGATTCTCTCTCTAATGCGTCCCCGTCCTTTGGTAAAAGGTGCAAATCAAATAGTTGTATCGTTGTTGAGATATTGAAATTTTATGAAAAGCCCCCAAAAAACGTGGATTCCGCCATCTTGAAAATTTGCCAACTTTAAACTCTTGTAATTCAGTAACAACAGATTACTTAACCTTGGAAGTTTTACGATAAATAGTACATAGTATAAACTACAAAACCACGCAACCGCGAGCTCAAAACATGCTTTCGTTATTTTGTAATAGATGGCGCACGAAGAGCCTAAATCCAGAAAATCTGGAATTTTCCTGTAACACCCATTTGAAACAAAGTCGACCGTGAAACTTTCAACTATATTCCAAATAGATTATATGCCAAAGCATATTTGGTAAAAGTTTGACGGTCTCGGGTGCTTTCGTTTCCAATACAGACGGTTTGAAAGTTGCAAGTTTGGGCGATTTTGAAGAATGATTTTCTCCATGGAAACGAGGCCATTCTGAAGCCCCCTGGTATACTCTTGGAGTACACCAGGTATACTATCATAGTCCATTCTGCGATTTGTGGGTTTCGCTAAAATGGCTTCGGGGGCATCGAGTTCTAGAGGCTTGCTTCAATCAGTGTATTTCTACTATAGTATATTAAAATTTCATAAAAACCAGTTTGATATGCAACTTTTCACAAGGAATTCAATGGTAATCCAATAACAAGTTAATTCTACTATTAATACGGTCCTATGTGCGAGTTCCACCGAGGGTACCTCGAACAGGTTCCCTTCTGATGGATTTTCATATGCCGGTCAGTGGCTTTTGAATAACTCAAGAACGAAAGGCGATAGAAACTTGTGGTTTTTGCGATTCGATAGCCAGGACTTTAAGCTGTCTTTTTATAACTAAAACAAAGCCGAAAGTATTTCTCAATGACCGGTTTTCTAAAAGATCTCTAGAAAACCGTTTCGTACCTGTAAACGATAAAGTAGCAATACATTGGTTTTTTTATAAGTAAATAGCCTAAAATGTCCTCTTCAGAGTGGGAGCCAAGCGAGACTTTGATTCTGAGTGATTTGGACGTGGTTTCTGATTTCCATGGAGCCACAGTGCCTTCGAGTAACCTTGAAAGAAGGAGAGAAGTACATAGTCGACCACGCTAAATTTGATGGCAACATTTATTTTATTTTACTTTATGTTACTCTTCCTCTTTAAGATAATGAGAATAATGTCTTGAAATGGAGCACAATAACAGGTCTCTGATGCGTTCTTAGATGTACTACTCTGGAGAGAGCACAGAATGTTCTTACCTATTTCTTCTCTCTCCTTTTGCTTCTCAACTGGATCATCATCATCGAGATGGTTTTCATTTAGAACACTGTCCGTCTGTATCCTTCTATCTTTCTCCTTCATTTTAACTATAACCAATGGTAGCGTAATCGCTACCGCTAGGAGCGAGAGGGAGATGAGAAGGATGAACAGATAGTGGCATTTTCGACTTTTAGTCTTCTGTTTGAATGAGGCGAGGTGCAGGTTCTTTGGCTGGAGGAAGAGGAGATGCAGTGTGAGAAGTACTTCGAGCTATGCTAATCAACGATCGATTGCTATCAGTTATTTCTTCGGTGGAAGCAGAGAGAGACGAGAGTGTTTCGGTCATGTTTGAAAAAACAATCGAAGAAAAAAAAGGAGATTGAATGAAAACTGTGATTTCAAAAAATGACGAATCAAAAGAAACATCAAAGCGCGCTCATTTGAGTAAAAAACTTCATTTTTGCCTTGAAATAGGGAAAACAATTGAAAAAAGCAACGATTCGCCAACTTGAAGGGCATGATAAGGCCTTGATTGCTTCGAAAAGTTCAAGGGGCAGAACTGAATACCGGAATGTTTCGGCTGCCGTCCTATTCAGATTTTATACTTTCTACCATAGAAATAAGGTAAGATGAAATGAAAAGCTTTCGCAATACGAAAGGAAACCTTGAGTAACTTCCTAGTTCAAATTTCTTCCAGCTGTTGTGACAACCAGATCTAGAATAACGAAATTAGGTAAGTTTGATGTTAGACAGAAGCTCTAGTTCCAATCGAACAATAAGCCCTTTTGTCAGACGTACATTTCCCTTCTTGCCTTACTTTCTTCATATAGTTTTTTGAAAAGCATATAACCGTTTTCTAGAAAAAAACCTTCGCCCGCACATTCATTCTCCCACGGACAAAAAAAAGTTAAAAAAATCAAATCACATGTTCTGCTCATATTATATTATGATACAGCTAGTAATATATGATTGCATAGCTAGCTCACTACACTATATAAATATCTATGTAATTTAAGGACCCCCCAATTAAGCCTTTATTGGTTTTCCAGGCAACCAACAATCTTCAAAACCCGAAAAATCCTTCCGAGTTTTCTAAAAATCCTCAATTTGACAAAACTAAGAGCTAATTCAAAAATTGGCGCCTGCCAGACCATGTAGTTTCTTTTCCTCTTTTAAACAAAAAAAGAATAAACTCTCTACGACAAACTGCTATTAAAAATCTTGGGACGCACTTCAAGTGTAACTCTTATATAGATAAAACGCTGTATTAAGAGGCGTTTTGCCACCACGCCAACCATAGTGCCAAAAGTCTGTCAAGTGAAATTTTTTGACCTATAGTTTTTTTTCTATTTTTCGATTCTATGATCAAAACTGGGGTTATGAAAAAGTTTTGAGGTCGTTTGGACTTGATTTCGCCGAGTTATAGAATTTACAAAACTAGGTGTATCGAAGATTTTCAAAAAAGTGAGCTCCGTGACATTTTGCCTATAACTTTGTCAAATTTTATCCGTTCTATTTGAACGACGTCTCATTCGAAAGTCCATCAAAAAATGAACAAAATCATGTGTTTTTAAATTTTTTCGAACGGAAACTGGATTTTTCAGAAGCCTACCATTTGAAAAATTAGTAATTTTAAAAACAAAATTTTTCCAATAAACTTTATTTTTCGCCGTCCAGTAGATTTTCCGCAAAATGGAAGTTAGTGCGTTTTGTAGAGCGCACAATTGTCTACAAAATAAGCTATAAAACTTTCTTTCACAACCTCAGGAACATGTTGAAAAATTGCTTGTGATTATTACCATCAAAGTAATTAATTATACTATCATTTTTTTAAAATCAATCTTTCTTGAAAAGAAACACTTTTTATATTAAATCAAGTATCCTGTTGAAGGTACAAGTAGTTATAGACAGACATATTATAAATATTTGAATGTACAACGCTGCGTGTTCCTTTCTGAAAAAAAATAAATGAAATGAATATTTTTAATATAGTGGTATTTTGACGTTGTTATCTTTCCCATTCTATGCATAATGAATATCAAAATATCAGTAATACCATATGTGTTTTTTCTTTCTTTTTATTCTGCATTCAGACTTGTTCCATTTCCAAGGACAGTACACTCGAGTCAGTATATTTTGTGAAAAATAAAAAAATACTTGCTAGTAGTCTTCTACTGAAAAAAGGCTGTCAAAAAAATGGCATCCAAAGGACGTCAATGTTTCTACCACGGTCATATATTGGCAAAAGAGGAAGCTTACTATAATCTATCGGATGTTAATGTTTTGGAGCACTGGTCAAAAAACTCTAACTTTCCTGACAGCTCCACGGTACTGGAGTCGGTCTTGCATCGTTGTGACATACGAGTTACACCTAAATTAGATTATAATAACATGTGTATTTGTGTATCGCATTTCGATGAACTAATAACGTCATTCGATCCGAAGAAGAATAAAAAATGTTATACGTGCGTATCAACTGCTCACAATTGTTTGGATCCGTCTGCTTCATTGTAGAGAGTGTGCTAAACGATGGAAAGGACTGATACCATTCATTGATGAATCTAGTGAAAGTGAGAAGGATGATGAGTACCGACCGGAGTCGGATTTGCCGATATTAAGACGAGACGAGAAAGACGAAGGCGTTGATCGTAGTCGATATAAAGAGCAGAAAACTGCTCTGTTAACATTTCTACAATTATCTGGCAATGATAGAGAAATTTGGTCTACACTGAACTATAATAATTTAACTAAAAAATCGAAAAATACATTTCTGTCTACTGCTCGATCTGTTATTAAAACCGTACTTTTATTTCTTGCTCCTAATGATATTACTGATGTGAAACGTGATCTATTCGATACAAAGAACGATTCGAAATCCTGTTTGATAGATGGGAAATTCCTGGCAGTAATGGATGGTATAAGCGAGGCATATAAAAACTCAGAGAAGTGGACCACACGCAAAGAGATTTTATCAATTGTCGCACCGAAAATAAGCTGTAAACTTATACAATCGTTTTTACCTGGATTAACTCTATATCGTTTCACAGCAGCAAGACGTCATGCTTTAGAATACGGAACTGGACGTCAGGTTGAACGTGTTCCATCCACTTTAGCAAGATTTAGTGATTTTCAGGTGGAGCATTTTATAGACTTTATCCTATCACCACATATTTGTACTGGTCTGCCTTTTAGTGAACAGCGTCTACGTCTTTCGACTGGTGTTGAACTTTACGTTCCAAATACAATCAGGAATATGATACCTTCGAGAATTGTTGATCAATATTTTGAGTACATTGCTGAAAATAATCCGGATTTTCCTCCACTTGGTCGCACAAGTCTTTTATCGTTACTGAATTCGTGTAAAGCGTCCACAAGACATAGTTTACAAGGAGTGAACTATTTTGCAGCTGACGCTAGTCTGGCATTTGATAATCTTATTGATATGGTGAATGATCTATCATTGGATAGTGATTCAAAAAAAATACTCGTTGATGATGTAAAACGCGGACGAATGTATCTGAAGACTGATTATAAAGTTCATGTGCAAAAGTCGTCAACTATAGATCATTGCATTAACTATGCACTTTCACAATCAAATGACACTGATTATGCCGAGAAGTGTGACCATCGACATGGTGACGTGCGTGTAGAATGTAATAATTTGCTGTCACTTCGGAAAAATTACGTACTATGATAAAGAGTTCAGTAACTGACAAAGAATTATTAGATCGTGAATTGGCTAAACTTAAAATGAGTACGGATGCCATTGAGGCATGGAAATGTCATCAGTTACGAGCTGTGAATCAGGATCTGTCAAGACAAGAACTGCTGCAGGATCTGCCTGCCAATTCAGTTTATATTCTAACAGATTGGGCGATGAAATGGCTTCCGGAAAAATACATGGAGTCACAGGAAGATTTTTTCGCCAAGCGAGGTTTATCATGGCATATTAGTGTGGTGGTGAAGAAAGTAACTATTATCCGTACCAAATGGTCGTACAGTCGGTGGCTTTTTGAATAACTCCTCGCGGGAGATAGATAATGAAGTGCGGTTTTCAGCATTAGAAAGAGGACACTTTAAGACATCTTTTCATAAGCGAAAATAGGATTTGAAAAAAATTTCCAACCTGGTTTTTCAAGGGATCTTTGGAAAACCAGCTCATAACTTCCGAAAGCCTAATAGAAACCCCAACGTTTTTTAACACGGTTTTGTAGCCCGAAGTGTCCTCTTCAAAACGGGAGTTAAGCGGGCGCATAATATTGCACGGTTTGGGCAGGGCAGCAGATTTCCTGCAGGTGCCCAAAAGCAAACTTTTTTCTTTTAAAACTCGATGAAAAAACTTCCAAATAGGTAGTCGATGGTGCTGATCACGATGGCAATGTCTGTTTCCTTCTCTGACACCATATTCAGCAGCTAGATTTACTTTTCGTATCAATTTTGCTGAAAAATGACAAAAATAGTTCACAACTGTCATTTCTGTCCAAGTCAGGGGCAGTTCAACAACTCGTTCCACATGCCAAAGCATGAAATTTCATAACAAATAAGCTAGCTGTTCTTGCTGAAGCGCACAATATCGCTTATTTTCAAATTTATAACTTTTAGCTGAAGCTAACATCTCTGCAGAGCGACTAG